ACTACGTACCAGAAAAATATTCTTTCATGTGATCAAGATCAGTATTTTTAATAATATCATTGCGGAGAATAATTTGTTTCGTTATAAGGTTTTGTGAACTGTAAAAATATTGAGCTTAGACAAAAATGTTGTGTGATAATGTTGTATATTGGTGTTAAGTTCAAATGTGAATCTATCGTAATCGGGTTTTGGATACTCTCTTTGACGTTGGAACTGATTAATTAAAGTACACGCGCTTAGGTGAGTAAAAAAAGATAAAATTAATAATATATTCAGTTAATTTGTATTTTTTTTTCCCAAAACGATAGATAATATTATAAATTAAAATGCACAAATGTGCGAATACACAACAGTCAACGGCTGAATACACAATAGTCAAAAAAGTGGAAGGACAACTCAGAAGACCGCCTAGAATCCCGACTAGCAACGCTGGAATAAAAACACTCGCAACTAAACTAACCAACTACTCGAACAACTAACGCTTTGCTTCGTTCGTTGGGGAAGCACTACTTTGTTGCTAGCTTGGCCCCGAAAAAAGGAATCCTTTTTTCAACCCATTTTTGACCGTTCGCGCCCAGAGCTAGCTGGTTCTCCCCGAAATGCGTTGAGGCGCAGCAGTTGACAAGCAGGTATCCCTGTCCTTATTGACTTAAAGCTTAGCGAGAACACTAAAAAAGACTCCAACAGAGTAATGTCTATCAAGTTAATTTGTAGATCTAGATTATTGTGGAAAAGTAATAAATATTTTAATATGATAATTATAAGAAAAAATAAGAATCGTATAAATTTTTATTTCTCACTGATAGTTACAAAGCTCTGGAAATAAATAATACAAGAGTTACTTTCTCTCCAAGAATATACCTAATTTATAAGACTAACTTAATATACAAGAAAGATCATGTAAATCTCGAATGATATCCCGAATATTCCCCTTAAAGTTGGAGCATGAAGATCACAAATGCTCAACTTGCGGAGTAGAAAATGAAAGTGATCCCGGCCGAGGGCTTTAGTGAAGATGTCGACAAGCTGAAGGCGAGTAGGGACGTACTTGGCAACGAGTTGACCAAATTGAACACGCTCTCGAACAAAATGACAGTCAATCTCAATATGTTTTGTGCGCTCGTGGTGAACTGGATTGGCTGATATATGAAGGGTCGATTGATTGTCGCAGAGCAGACGAAAGGGGCCAGAAAGAGTGACATCGAGCGAAGAAAATAAATTGCGAAGCCATATAAGTTCACTGGTAGTGACTGCCATTGAACGATACGCTGCTTCGGAGGACGAGCGAGAAACGGTTGTTTGCTTCTTAGTGCACCAAGAAACTGGACAACCGCCAAGGGTGATGAAGAAGCCTGTAGTGGAACGTCGCGTGAAGGGACAACTGGCCCAGTCAGAGTCACAGTATCCAATTAACTCCAATGAAGTCGGTCGTTTGAGTAGGATGCCTTGGCCCGGACTATGCTTCAGATAGCGAATAATGCGTAAGGCAGCATCCCAATGGCTCTCCCTCGGTTGCTGCATGAATTGTGCAAGTAAATGGACTGAGTAGCACAACTCAGGACGCGTGATGGTCAGATAGAGAAGGCGACCGATTAGTCGACGAAATGGCGCCGGGTCTGATAGCAAGGGAGCGGTGGAATCCGCGAGTCGAGGCCGTTGTTCCATGGGGAAAGTTGCTGGTTTCGCGGCTGTGAGACCACAATCAGATAAGATGTCTAACGTATACTTTCGCTGGGAAAGAAACATACCCTCGCTGGTACGAACGATCTCGATGCCCAAAAAAGTACTTCAGCACCCCCAAGTCCTTGATTTTAAAACAGCTCGCAAGATAAGATTTAAAACTTGAGCAACGTAATGAATTATTACTAGCAATAATGAGGTCGTCCACATAAACGAGGACGACTAAGATATCAGCACCCGAATGGAAAGTGAACAATGAATAGTCCACCTGTGACTGTCGAAAGCCATAAGTACAGAGCGCCGAGGCAAATTTAGCAAACCAATTACGTGAGGCTTGTCGCAAACCATAAAGAGATTTGCGTAGTCTACATATTGAATTTGATGAAGAAAAAGTGTATCCTGGAGAAAGTCGCATGTAGACCTCTTCCTCCAAATCACGGTGAAGGAAGACGTTGTTTCACATCCATTTGGTGAAGACTCAAGCTCTTGGCCAAAGCGACCGTGAGGAGGTACCGAACAGTCGTCATTTTTTCCATCGGGGCAAAAGTCTCATGAAAGTCAAGGCCCTCGATTTGTGTAAAACCCTTAGCCACCAATCGAGCCTTAAAGCGCTCAATGCTACCATCAGAGTGTCTTTTGATCTTGTACATCCACTTACAACCAATGGGTTTCTTACCGGGAGGGAGAGGTTCGATGGTCCAGGTACCATTGTCTTCAAGAGCACGAATTTCGACATTCATCGCATCACACCAGCGAATATCCTTAACATCGACTGAGTAGGACCTGGGCTCAACTTCAGAATCAAGTGCAGCTAGGAAGGCCAAGTGAGACTGAGAAAAACCATTATAATTGACAAAATGCTCGAGTGGGTAGACCGTACCTGAAGAAGTCGATGAAGAGGGTACGAGACAAGAGGGGGTCGGCATAGCCGAGTAACAATGATAATCGTCGAGGCGGGCAGACGGGTGCCGTGGGCGAGGTGGTCGTCGCGGATGATGCGGTTCGGGAGGTGCAGTGGCTCGCGCTGGTAGCTCAATCAGGGGCTGTTGAGGAGCCATGACCATTGGCGTGGAATTCTCAGTTGGAGGCTCTGGTGGGGAAGCCAAGGTAGTCGGAGTGGTGGTCTCAGTCGTGGCTGGAGGAGCCTGTTGCGCTAGTATGGGCACCGGCGTGTTTGGATCAGTCGGTTCGGACATGGTTGGCCGAGTTAGAGAAGGCTCGGCAGAATTGTTGGTTTGTGGAGGGTCTGTCGGTCCGAGCGAGCCCAATGGGCTTTCCATAGCTGTGGAATCGAGCGGTGGTAAGGTTGAGGTGTAATCGTGTCCCGGTGAGAATTCCGGACCAGTGGGCTTGGGAATGTAAGGAAAATGATTTTCATGAAAAATGACATCTCGGGAAATGAAAATTTCATGTGTCCAAATCATAAAGTTTCCAACCTTTCACAGCATGAGGATAACCAAGAAGAAATACACATCGACGGGACCTAGATGCAAATTTATCGGAAGGGCGCGGGAAAATTTTTGCATAAGACAAACACCCAAAGACACGAAGATGATCATATGGGACTATTTTTCCATGAAGGACTTCGAGTGGGGACTTACCCGATAGAAGTGGTGTTGGTGTATGATTAATGATATATGTGGCTGTAAGAACACATTCCCCCCAAAATTTTATTGGCGGATTTGCTTGAAACCAGAGGGCACGAGCCACATTAAGGATGTGACGATGTTTACGTTCGACACGACCGTTTTGTTGTGGGATAGACACAAGATTTTTGGTGTATAATGCCATGTTCGTCAAAAAGGTTTTGCAAGGACCCCGATAAAAATTCTTTACCATTATCCGAACGGAAATATTTAATGACACGACCAAAATGTGTATGAATCATTGTGAAAAAGGTACACAAAAGACGATAAGTGTCAGATTTATCACGCATCAAGAAAGTCCAAACGGCCCGACTATAGTCATCAACAATGGTGAGGAAATAATGAGCTCCAGAAATTGATTTTGTGCGATAAGGTCCCCAAATATCACAATGTAACATAGAAAAAGAGGAAATGGCTCGTTCATCACTAAGTGGAAAAGATGAATGTGCATGCTTTGCACGGTGGCAAGCATCACACACACTCTCATGGTCTTTATTAACAGCAATACCCGAAACTAAACGCAGAATTTTTTCGGAAGGGTGACCCAAACGCCGGTGCCACATATCGGGTGTCACTCGAATCGAGCTTGATGAACTCGCCATGGCAGTCGCTGCGAACGTCTTCCCCGGCTCGATACGATAGACCCCCCCCATTGTAGCTTACCCGCTCCAATCAACGTCTTCGAGGTGAGGTCCTGCAAAAAGCACCGAGACGAGCGAAAAATCACATAACAGTTTGAATCAGTCATAATTTTGCTAATAGAAATTAGACTGCAAGTGAAACCGGGGATGTATAAAACGTTCCATAAGACGAAATTAGGACCAAATGTTACGGTCCCACGAAAAGTGGCATGGGAGACCGCGCCATCAGTCGTCGTAATTGGACGAGGTCCCCGTATGGGTACATGGTGCCGGTCATATGTTATGAGGCTCCTGAATCAAGAATCCACGAACGAGAAATTGTTACAATATTACCTTCGAGTGGTTCAGTACCCGACGAGGCCTTTACCGAGCCAGAGAGGTTGAGCAGTTGACTGT